AAGAGGCCATACGGAAGGAGGGTAGATCGAGCGTATGTTACACTTTTGCGAAAAAGCGATCCTTGCGCGCTCAGGAATCAAAAAAAGTATGGGGTGAGAGCGGGGATATGGTGGGCGATCTTTTGAGAGGGAGAAAGGGTGACAATCACCGAGGCGACATGAGGAAAAGTAGGTGGGATTCAAAGACTCCTTGCGCTTCTCACTTGAGCTGCATCTCCCTCTCGACCAGCTTGAAGATGGTCTCGAGCATGATGTTGGAAGTTCCCTCGTAGATGGCGCCGATCTTCGAGTCCCTCCAGTACTTTTCGATACCAGTCTCCCTGGTGAAACCCTGACCGCCGGCCCACTCGATGGCCGAACCCGAGGCCTTCTGGGCGACCTGGGAGGCGTAGAGCTTGGCGAACGCGGCCTCCTTGGTGAAGGGCCTTCCCTCCTCTTTGAGACGTGCGGCGTTGTAGACCAGGACTCGCGCTGCCTCGATCTCCATGAGGACCTGGGCGATCTGGAACTGCATTCCTTGGAACTGGGTGATCGCCTTGCCGAACTGCTTCCTCTCGGCGGCGTATCGGATCGACTTTTCGACAGCTCCCTGCGCGAGGCCGAGCATCTGGGCTCCGATTCCGACTCGGCCCTCGTTGAGGATCTCGATCGCGATCTTGTAGCCCTTGCCCTCCTCTCCGATCAGGTTCTCGGCTGGGACCTTGATCTCGTCAAAGTTGAGCGTGCACGTGGACGAGGCGCGGATGCCTAGCTTCTTCTCCTTCTTGGCGATCTCGACGCCCATCGACTTTTCGACCGCGAAGGCGCTGATGCCCTTGTAGCCCTTGGACGGGTCGCCCTGGGCGAAGACGATGAAGAATTCGGCCTCTGCCGAGTTGGTGATCCACATCTTGGTGCCGTTGAGGATCCAGCTGCCGTCCGCTTGCTTCTTGCACGAAGTCTTCATTGCGAAAGCGTCGGATCCAGAGGATGGCTCCGAGAGACAGAAGGAACCGAGCGTGTCCGAAGCCAACTTGGGGAGGTACTTCTCCTGGATGTGCTTGCTGGCGTACTTGCGGAGGACCGTGTTGACGAGGGTCTATTCAAGGAGCGGCGCAAGAGGGGGAGAGATGCGAGCGCGGGGGTCGAGTGTGAGAGGAGGCTCGAGCCAGTCAGGTCACGCAAAGTCGCTGCCGAGGGTGTGGGCTGGCATTCACTCACGTTGTGAACATCGCAGAGGACGGAGACGGATGGGTCAACCTTGGCGAGCTCTTCGATGACGATGATGGCGGCTGTGAAGGAGCAACCGGCGCCACCGAGCTCTGCGTCGGTCTCGATGGCCATGAGACCCTGCTCAAAGAGGCCCTTGATCACCTCTGGGTCCATCTTCTCGGCCTCGTCCATGGCTTCGACGCGTGGCTTGACGACGTCGTTGGCAAACTTTCGAACGGCCTCCTTGAGCATCTCCTCCTCCTCGGTGAACTTGGCCAGCGAGTTGACGCCGAAGGGGCTTTCGAAATCGCGAGCGGGGGAAGTGGTGCTGAAGGCGCGTGCGGGGGCTGACGATGGACCTGACCGCGAGAATCTGAGAGGAGCGCTGGAAGAAGGGGAAGAGGATGTAGCGTCCCTGCCCCTGGCGGCGACTGTGGAGAGGGAGCGAGAAGCATTGCCGAGCGCCGAGGTGGCGACGGAACGCTGCAAGAGGCGAGTGGCAGGAGCGCGGAGAGACATGGTCTGTGTGTGAGACGCTGGACTGGGTTTGACAAGGACAGGT